GACCACGAGATCATGACCTGGCTGAAGTCGGACGCCAACCGACTGCGCCACCCAGGCGCCCCTGAACATTGATTTTTAAACTATATTTAATGATATATAATGAGCAAGGGGGCAGCTGGGTGGCTCAATCAGTTAAGCATCCGACTTCAGGTCAGGCGATGAACTCTCAGTTCGTGGGTTCGAGCCTCACGTCAGGTTCTGTGCTGACGGCTCAGGGCCTGGAGCCTGCTTCAGATTCTGTGTCTCCCTCTTCTCTCTGCCCCTCCCTGACTTGTGCTCTGTCTCTCTCTCTCAAAAATAAACATTAAAAAATTTTTTTTTTAAAAACGAAGAAAAAAATGAGCAAGGGTCCCAAGGACTAGGGATGTGTAAAGGGTCAGGAGAAAGAACAGTCTCTGCTCTTATCATCATCCCTATCACTTAGGTACCTTGGATGGTACAGCTAGGAACTACAGAACTGGAGATTCTTAAAGGTGATGGGGATTAAGGAGTGCACTTGCTGTGATGAGCACTGGGTGTTACATGGAAGTGTTGAATCACTACATTGTACACCTGAAATCTAATATTACACTCTATGTTAAATAACTGGAATTTAAATAAAAAACTTTTTAAAAAAGAAAATATAGTTAGATTCTAAAACCTACGAAAAATAATTTAAGTAAATCAATTTACTTTTGCATAAAAGAGAACACCTCAATTTTTGTTTTTTCCTTTGGAGGGAATTAGTGGAAAAAAGGGATTATGCTTACTCTTCAAGATTCTGTTCTCTCTATAATCTCTTTACTTCATTCTCCAATCTCTGATTAATTTTTGACTTTTCAGGTACTTCTTAGATGTGTTCACTTTTGTTAAATCACTGTCACGTTTTCTCATTTCCATTCTTCTTGATATCCCGTAACTTGAAGAAATAGTTGATTTATCAACCATATATAATTTCTCTTTGTAAATGCTTTACTAACCCTTTTTTGAATACTTCGATGTTCCAAGTGTCCATTAATATTTTTATTTATTGCTGCCTCATTTAAAAAAAATTTTTTTTAATGCTTATTTATTTTTGAGAGAGACAGAGCACAAGCAGGACAGGGGTAGAGAAAGAGGGAGACAGAATCCAAAGCAGGCTCCAGGCTCTGATAGGCTCTCCAGGCTCTATCAACACAAAGCCCAACACGAGGCTCGAACCCACGAAACGTGAGATCGTGACCTGAGCTGAAGTCAGTTGCCCAACTGACTGAGCCACCCAGGTGCTCCAGCTGCCTCATTATTTTTAACTGGCTATTTGTTTATGCTTTAAGGGTTACTATAATGAAAGATAAAGATACCAGGAAGAGCAAAGGAGTTGCATTTATTTTATTTTTGGATAAAGACTCTGCACAAAACTGTACCAGGGCAATAAACAACAAACAGGTAAGCCATTCATTCCCAGCAAGATTTTTAATCCAAAAGTCTTTGTGTTTATCCAGACCAAAAATGTGGGGTTACAGTGGATGGTCAAGTCATGGATATCAATAGATTCTGAGGGTATTTATTTAACTTCTAGAAAAGAGGTCAGACTATATTCGGTTCCATAAATACTGGCAGAATCTAAGGAATAAGAATCTATTCTACAGGATGTTATTTGTCACACCGGAGTAGGCAATTGCTAAAGTAATCTAAAATGGAATTGAAGGTTTAAGGAAATGGAATCAAATAACTAGTTTTAGGTTTCAATGAAACACATCCTTCTGCATTTACGTTTTTCTCTGGTTTAGTTATTTGGTAGAGTGATAAAAGCAAGCATTGCTATCGACAATGGAAGAGCAGCTGAGTTCATCCGAAGACGAAACTACTTTGATAAATCTAAGTGTTATGAATGTGGGGTGAGTATACCTAAAACTTAATATAATTTCCCATGGTTTATTTTAAGGTATTTTTCACATCAGTGTTTTATTTGTGCTCTCTAAAACTTCTGGCTTACTAAAACCAGGTTATGAAAGTTGTCTTACTTTGGGACTATCAACTCGTGTAAGAAAACTCCATTAAAATGTAGTATGTAAAGATAACCTGAGTTGGGTAATATAGAGTGGTATTTTCTCCAGTTTCTAAATCTTTAAAAACTGTTAAATTAAGAAGTGCTAGACTAGTTACTTACTTTGTCTTGAAAAATTTTTGTGACCCATAAATTTGTATAATAATAGGATACTGTTTGTGTCTATAATAGTTTGCCAATGTTTAAGCATCACTGTTCAGTATAAACACTATCATATGACCAACCTATCCTGAATGAGATACTGTATTTTAAAACTTGGGAGTTTTTTTTTCTACTTAGTACTGCGGATGCTTGTAACTGAACTATCACCAAGTTTTCTTGCCTAGTTCTTATAGTTTGTCATTACCCCTTTAAACTTTTGGTGAGTAGGAAAAATATAATGACAAGGCCCATAATAATGATGGTACCACAAGAATATCAGTCTAGGGCTTGTTGTCAGTTTCCCAAATGCCTATATAAAATATTTTTAAAAGAGTCCGGAGGTATTAATGGGGAAATGGGGAGAGGTTTACTGAGAGCCATTTTCCTGGCTACAAAATCACATGGAAGATACAAAGAAATAGGTTGGGGTCCTTTCCTTCACTGCCACACTCAACACCTTGTTCCCTAAAGATATATATAAACAGACGGATGGGCGGTATATCCTGTCAATTCCTGTGATTCTAACACCTCTTAAGTTAATGTTTTAAAAAATTGTGTTCCAGATCCTGAGTTTTGTTAAGAAAGAAAGGAAGGGAAGGGTAGTTATGGTTAGATAGATTCGTCAGAAATCCTGGATGAATCTGTTAATCTTTTTGGTTTGTGGATGCATAAATTTGTTATATTATACTTTGTACATTTTTATACTTCTTAAATTTCCCCCTTCCCCAAATCTGTATACATTTATTTAGCCTGGTTTTCCCTTAAGTTACTTCTCTCTGAAACTGTTCTTATATATGGAGTATGTTGACATTATTCCAAAAACAGTTTGGAAAATGCTTGTCTAAGTGCATTCACTTAGCAGTTCATTAACCGTAACATCTCTTGCATTCAGCCATATCCCAAGATATATAAAGTACACAGTCTATTTAATGCTTTCTAAAATGTACTTGAAAAGCATGATTATTTTTCTCTTCTATTGTTCTAATCCTGGCTCAGTCTCTCCCCACACCCTTACTCTTACATATCACTTCTTCAGTGAATTTAGTGAGCTAATGTTCAGATTATAGTTCATTGTGTTATGTTTTACAGCTCAACCATGTTATACCTCATTATAATAGTATGGCTAGTCTAGCCACAAATGTAATTGTAATTTGTCTACTAGCCACGTTAAAAAAAGAAACAGGCAAAAATTAATATCTTTTTATATCATAACCCAGTATATATCCAAAATATTATCATTTCAATATGTATTTAATATTTTCAAAAATTAAGGTATTTTATATTCCTTTTTCTTCAAAATCCAATATGTATTTTACCCTTACAGTGTATATCAATTCAGACAAGTTCTAAGTAGCCACAGAGAATCACAGTTAATGACTAACAACAATTGGACAGTGCAGGTATAATCCAGATATGAAAGGAGCAAAGTGAAATTAATGGGAAAAAAGAAAATAAAAATAAACATTCAAATTAAAAAAAAATTTTTTAAATGGGAAAGTGAGGAAGACTTTAAATTTTCCATTTGTTTTTAAACCAGTGGATTTCAATTCAATGTCGTCTCCTCCATAAAGTCTGCCTTGGTAATTCCAAATCAGAAATCTCTTCCTCTCTTAAGTTTCCACAGCACTCCATCCACTAGAAAGTAAATCACCCTGTACTGCAGCTGAGATAACTGGGTAAATAGCAGAAATAAGATTCTGATGCTTTCATAGCAGTTGATTTTTTTTTTTTTTATTATTCCAAGTACAGAGGATGTCACATTATAAGTGCAGGTAAATATATGAACTATCAGTCTATGGTCTTCAAATTATGAGTAACAGGTAATTTTGAAGAGCATTTCATTGTAGGTACACGTGGGTATGGTTGATCATAAAAAATGGCCTCAGTACTCATTCCTCCAATTAAGAGTCAGGGTCTATGTCCATGTTCCTTGAATATGGATTTATGAATTGTTTTGAACAATAAAATGTAGCTAAAAAATAAAAAATAAATAAACCAGTGGTAAGCAACGTATTGGAAGTTAATAGGAAAGTTTTGTCCTATTTTATCAAATAATAAGTTAAAATTTTTACATTAAAATAGATGGTCCATTTAAACTTTGAATTGTTTTATACCCTGAATCTTGAGACTTAAAATGTTTGAAGAGGGGCACGTGGGTGGCTCAGTTGGTTGGGCGTCCGACTTCAGCTCAGGTCATGATCTCGCAGCTCATGAGTTCAAGCCCCATGTCCAGCTCTGTGCTAACAAGCTCAGAGCCTAGAGCCTGCTTCCAATTCTGTCTTTCTCTCTCTCTGCCCCTCCTCTGCTCAAACCGTCTCTCTCTGTCTCAAAAAATTAATAAATGTCAAAAAATTTTTTAAAAAATAAAATGAAATGTTTGAAGGAAGAATACTTCTTTTGTTCTTAGTAAAACTACTAAAATATTCTTTTATTGTTAAGGTAGTTTATTGGTGGTTATAACATCATAATCTCTTTCTTTTAAATATTAAAGTAGTGGGTTGTATTATTTCTTAATATATACTCCTAGTGTGACAGTATTCCTTTTTAAGTTCCAAAGCCTTCAGTCATAGGGTACCAGGCAAGTTTCCATTAATAACATACAAATACAGCTCTTTTCTTTTCCTTTTTAACGTGAAACAAAAGGAAAGTGGACATTTAAGTTATGCCTGTCCTAAAAATATGCTTGGAGAACGTGAACCTCCAAAGAAGAAAGAGAAAAAGAAAAAAAAGAAAATTCCTGAACCAGAAGAAGAAATGTATGTATATCTACTCTTACTAAATATGTTACTGTATTTTTTTCTGTCTTTTTACTATTGGTTGAGCACATTCTGATTTTTTTGTTTTTAATAATTTAGTGAAGAAGTAGAAGAGAGTGAAGATGAAGGGGAAGATCCTGCCCTTGACAGCCTTAGTCAGGCCATAGCTTTCCAGGTACTAAACCGTTCTTTTAAAAATGCTATTGCTGCCTTGGGTTCATGGTCTTATATTTCTTGCTTGCTTTATTGATCATTTCATGGCAACCTTCATCTCTCCCCTTTACCTCTTAACTTTAAGAGACAGGCTGTTTCTCTCAGGTCTTTAGGACGGTGTGATAGAAAAATTCCCATTGGGTCTTTCTAGATTTTAAGGGCCCCACAACATTTTTAAATTATTATTATTATTTTAAATGTTTATTTATTTATTTATTTTGAGAGAGAAAGCATGAGCAGGGGAGGAGCAGAGAGAGAGAGAATCCCAATCAGGTTCTACACTGTCAGCATGGAGCCTGACGCAGGGCTTAATCTCAAACCATGAGATCATGACTTGAGCCAAAATCAACAGTCAGTCGCTTAGCAGACTGAGCTACCCAGGCACCGCAGACCCTACAACATTTTCAGTATCTTATTATAATTTCATTATGGAATTGAGCAGAACTATTTGATTAAAGTGAGTTTAGCTGAATGGAGAAGATTTTATTAAATCAAAGATAGGTTTTAAATGAAGCTTCACTTAACAAACCAGAAACACAGTTTTGACCATTAAAGGTCCTAATACAAGTATATGAAACTTGATAAGGCCATATAATCTTCTAATATCTATAAAGTTATTTTGTTTTAATGTCTGTAGTTAATAAATTACAAACACATGCATTAATTTATTTTTCCTTTTAGTTAAATGATGTCATATTTTATATAACATTTCCACCTCAAGCAAGGATGGAAAGTAGGCTTCATTTAATGTCCCTGTTAGTAGAAATTGCTTAGAATAATTTTGAGTAACAAAGTGAATCTGGGACATAACTTGGGCAGGTGGGATATTCTGATGAAGTAGAATGTCTGCATGAGCTGGAAGGTGGGGAGTATTGGCATTTATGGTGTGTTTTTGCCATGTTTTGAAATAATGCACTGTAAATAAACATTCCTGGTTTGGTTTTTTTTGTTTTCTGAATCACATTCCAGCAAGCCAAAATTGAAGAAGAACAAAAAAAATGGAAACCGAGTTCAGGGGGTCCCTCAACATCAGATGATTCAAGACGCCCAAGGATAAAGAAAAGCACATATTTCAGTGATGAAGAAGAACTGAGTGATTAAAATTATATTTATTATGTAAATATCATTAAATTTTTTTAAAAAATCTTGAGTTCAGTTGGGGACTAAAGATTACTTTTAGAATTTGAACATAAAGAACACTTAGTACCAAATAATTTTTTACTATAAAATAGTTCATAGGAAACTGAAAATAATTTTAAAGTATCATGTTTCTATCTTGCCTTAGAGTAATAAAAATAAAGATTTGGTAGTAACTGTTAATCTTGAAAACAGTTCATTTGAATAAAAAAGAGATCATAATACTATCACAGTATTGCTATTGTCCTCTCAAGAAAAAAGAGAGGAGGTATTAAAAAGATGTGTTTGAGAAGCTCATTATAAAAGTTTATTCATGTCTGATTGCTTTACATGAAGACTTGAAATAAATTTCATCTTTAAGACAAAAACTTCGTAACTACTGGAAAATGCTGACTGATTTATGGTTATTAAATGTTAATAAAATTTTCAAGGGGCGCCTGGGTGGCGCAGTCGGTTAAGCGTCCGACTTCAGCCAGGTCACGATCTCGCGGTCCGGGAGTTCGAGCCCCGCGTCAGGCTCTGGGCTGATGGCTCGGAGCCTGGAGCCTGTTTCCGATTCTGTGTCTCCCTCTCTCTCTGCCCCTCCCCTGTTCATGCTCTGTCTCTCTCTGTCTCAAAAATAAATAAACGTTGAAAAAAAAATTAAAAAAAAAAAAAAATAAAATAAAATTTTCAAGAGAATTTTGTTTTTAAACGTAGGTGTTTTGCTATCCTATTTCTTTTAGCTTTATCCCAACCTGGATACATCGTAATTATCCATAAAGTATAAAGTAGCTTTAAAAGGCTTATAACCAAACACCAGTAATTTGTCTGACACACCTTTCGACCAAATTCCATTCATTCCCCAGAAGCAACTAACTTTTTTAGCTGTTTCTTCTCATATGTACATGCATATTGCTATATAAAATACATATATTTCTGCCACTTAATTCATAAAGGAGTAAAGGAGGATTTTTCAGTCTCCTATACTACATCTGCCCTCCTCCATCTTCCCAATATGGCTATGTTAAAATTTCTGGTTAAATCCACAGTTATTGTGTTTATTTTATGACCATGTAAATACTTCTGAGTCAATGAGTGTGCTGAGATTAATTTTTGTAGAATTAATAATTGCCTCATTTTTTCATTATATATCTTTTTATTTATGACTAAATCTTCCTATATCTTCTGCAGATTATTAAATGGAAATGGGATTATAGAGCCTTTGATTTACACTTTGTGTATTTCTGTATTGATGGAATGCTTTTTAAAAGAACATCCATTTAGGAGCACCTGAGTGGCTCAGTCAGTTAAGCATCCGACATCAGCTCAGGTCATGCTCTTGCAATTCATGGGTTCGAGCCCTGCGTTGAGCTCCTTGCTGACAGCTCAGAGCCTGGAGCCTGCTTTGGAGTCTGTGTCTCCCTCTCTCTGTGCCCCTTCCCTTCTCACGCTCTGTATCTCTCTCAAAACTAAATATACATTTAAAAAAAATTTTTTTAACACCCAGTTATTAGTTTTAACTACTAAAAACAATAAAAATATTTCCCCTTTGAAAACTATAAAGCCAATGAAAGTGTTAACCACTCACTAGCAAAGAATCTTCTAGATTTCAATGAGGAAACCAGACTAAATAATTGAGTGGTGGACTCTACTTTTTGTTCCACCCATTAATTCATTAAATTTAAAAGAAAAGAGGGGACAAAGTTTGCAACAAAATACAGGTAAGTTTTTATATGAATACCTTCCAACAGAATAGAAAATGAGCTAGTGAATATGTAGAAAATAAGAACTAAATGAAAAATACCCTTTATCGTTAGTTATTTTTACAACCAGTAGAACATTTTTTATCTAATTAAAAAAAAATCAGTGGTGATGAAGATGACTTCAGAGTACTTGTAGTACTGTAAACTGGCTAGTTGCTGAAGGGTAATTTAACAATAAGTGTTAAATATGCTCTATTGTTTAAACCAGAAATTATATTCTGTTTTATCCTCGGGTTCTAGTCAGAAGTACAGGTATATATGTGCAAAGCTATATGTTATTTACAACTCAGAACATAATTAAATGCCAACAAAAAATAATCAAAACATGATATATCATCCAAAATGATAGATTCTTAGGAAGCATTAAAGTGCTTCAGAGAATTCCTAATGGTATGGAAGAATTCTGGATATAATGTCAGTTGCAAAATATCTGTTATGTATAGAGATACGTATATGCATGTGGATGGAAAAAGTTTACTACTAAAGTAGAAATGCATAATATAGTTTCTTGCCATTTGCAACAACGTGGAAGGAACTAGAGTATATTATGCTACTCAAAATAAGTCAGAGAAAGACAAATACATGATTCCACTCATGTGGAATTTGAGAAATTTAACGGATGAACATCGGGGAAGGAAAGGAAAATACAAGATAAAAACAGGGAGGCAAACCATAAAAGACTCTTAAATACAGAGAATAAACCAAGGGTTGATGGGATGGTTAAATGGGTGATGGGCATTAAGGAGGGCACTTGGGTTGAGCGCTGGGTGTTAAGATGTAAGTGATGAATCACTTGGTTCTACTCCTGAAGCCAAGACTACACTGTATTTTAACTGGAGAATAAAGTTTATATATATATACATATATATATATATATATATAGTTTCTTTTGACAGAGATACGTAGGTTCTCATGGCCATGTTGGCTGATGGCCTTGGGCCATTTACTTAACCTGAGTTACTTGAAAAAAAGGTACAAACAACATGGAAGGACAAGTGTATGATTTTACTTACATGATGAATACCTGGAACAGTCAAATTCATATAGACAGAAAGTAGACTAGAGGTTACCAGGGACTGGGAGAGAAAGGGGGAAGGGAGTGTTAGCGTTGGGTAGAGTTTCTGTTAGAGATGATGAAAAAGTTTTGGGTATAGATCGTGGCAGTGTTATACAATGTGAATATGCTTTAGTGTCCTGATTGTATGCTTAAAAATTGTTAAAATGCTAAATTTTATCTTACGTATATTTTACCACACAAATGTATAAACATAACTGGTTGAAAATTTTGTGTAAAGAGCAGTTAGGCCCCCAAGACCCTCCCTGTGGATCACCCCTTATTCATGGCAAGCCATGGCATCTGCATTATCCTTTCCCTGCTTATGTCCAAAACACTATCAGATAGGCTCATTCACCTCAGAGGATTGAGGGGTCCTTCCCAGGAGAAAAGATATATAGACACTGGATATTTGGGGCCCGAAAGAAAAAGTTCTAAAGTCCCACAAGTTAATATGCCCAAGGCGGTGGTGGTGATAGATGCTTCTGATCAGCTTTTTAGTGTTTCACATTCAAATATGAATAGATAATCATCAACAAACGTTTGAGGAAATCCTCCAGCACAATACAGATCCAAATGAATAGGCCAAAAAAAGTGGGGAGCTTAGAGGAGCTGAAGCATTCTGATTTTAAAAATTTATCTGGCCCCATGGGTTTCAGAGAAAGGGGCTATGGACCTGTAATAAACTTGGTGATTTCCAATATGAGAGCATTTGCCAATCAGAAAATGCCCATCTTAATAGATATGTCTTTCCTTCAGCAATCATTTATAAACTCAATTGCTTTTTTTTTTTTAATTAATTTTATTTTTGAGAGAGTGCATGAGCATGGGAGGGGCACAGAAAGAGAGAGAGAGAGAGAGAGAGAGAGAGAAAATCCCAAGCAGACTCCATGCTGTGAGCTCAGAGCCTGATGCGGAGATCAAACCCATGATCCTAGGATCATGACTTGAGCTGAAATCAAGAGTTGGACACTCAACTAAGCCACCCAGGTGCCCCTCAGTTGCTTTTTTGACTAGATGTCAATTTTAAAACTGCCAATTAATAATTTTCAGATTATCACAAAAATAGGTTATGGCCAATAATAGAATCCATATAGGTCCCATATAATTAAATGTTAATTCATCTCCTTATTTTATTTTTAAATTTTTTTTTTAACGTTTATTTATTTTTGAGACAGAGAGAGACAGAGCATGAACGGGGGAGGGTCAGAGAGAAAGGGAGACACAGAATCAGAAGCAGGCTCCAGGTTCTGAGCCATCAGCTCAGAGCCCGATGCGGGGCTCAACCTCACGGACCGCGAGATCGTGACCTGAGCCTAAGTCGGACGCTCAACCGACGGAGCCACCCAGGCGCCCCTCATCTCCTTATTTTATAAGTGTGTGTATATGTAGTACACAATAGTATCATGAAATATATAGGCATTAAAATGTTTAAATAGTAAAACTTTGGCTACCATATCTAGAGAAGTACTTGAAAACTTTATATAGAAGAATATACCATAGGATGGTGCCTGGCTGGCTCAGTCAGTAGAGTGCAACTCTTGATCTCGGGGGCGTGAAGTCAAGCATTCAAGCCTTACATTGGGCATAGAGATTACTTAAAAAAAAATTTTTTTTTTTTAAGAGAGCACTTGTGAGCAGGAGAGAGGGGCAGGAGAGAATGAGAGAGAATTTTAAGCAGCTCCACAGTGTGGAGTCCAATTCAGGGCTTGATCCACGAACCTAGGATCATGACCTGAGCTGAAATCAAGAGTTGGAGGCTCAACAAACTGAGCCACCCAGGTGTCCCCCAAAATAATTTTTTTAAAAGAAGAATATGTCAGATCAGTAAAGCATAACTTTAAAATCAGAGGAAGGGTCATTGGGTCACATAACTGAAATATGCAGCTTAAGAAATGGATGAAAGGGTTAAAAATGTAATTAGAAAAAGGGGTGCCTGGGTGGCTCAGCCAGTTAAGCATGCGATTTCAGCTCAGGTCATGATCTCACAGTTCATGAATTCAAGTCCTGCATTGGGCTCTGTGCTGACAGCTCAGAGCCTGGAGCCTGTTTTGTATTCTGTGTCTCCCTCTCTCTCTCTGTTCCTCCCCCACTCATGTTCTGTGTCTCAAGAATAAATAAATGTTAAAAAAAATTTTAATGTAATTAGAAATCTATTTGTCTCTTACCACTGCTCTCCTCTGCACTACATTTTCCAACAAGCTTTCTTTATGTTACAGCAAAGATGACCACCAGTATCTCTAAAGCTAGGAATCCTGATAATGAGAACCTTCTTCCCCAACATTTCCA